ATATAAAAGTTTGAAGTGTCATGAAGCATACTTTTTTGAAAGAATAAAAGAGCTTGTAGAGGAAGCGATCGGTAATATTTAGGGGGAAATATAAAAAATGATCGTTTCTCTTATCACTACAAAATTAGTGTCGGTTCGGTTTCACTTTGTAGATAAGTATTTGTGCAGGTTAATCATTTAAACCTCCTCTGAAATTCCCCGAGGCTTTTTGTCGAGTTCCCGATTGGATTTTAGAATGATTCGCTGCGCTGCTTGGAATGTTTTCAAGGACATGCGATGTACGGCACGTCGGTATTTTGTTTTCACTTTAATATAAACTCGGCCAGGTTTCGAAAAAAATAGCGTTGTTTTCTAATCCTTTGTCGTTCGCTTTAGGCTTGTAATTCTTTTTCATTCTTATTTTTCCATTTGCTGGTTAGATTTTTCCTCAACATCAGATTTTCCAACAGAAGCGACTTTATTCTTCGTATCAAGCTTTCCTTAACTCTTCGTGTAATCTGATCCTTTTTAGTGGTGAGAATTGCTTGTTTCACATGGAAAACTTTTCTTTGCTTAAACTGTTGTTTTACAAGCTTCTCTTCGTTAAAACCTTACATTAATGGCCCCCAAATTAATGCAATGCATCAAGTTTTCATTTTCCTTGACTGCCGGGGCCAGATTTAGGTGAATAAACAATAAAAGCGTACCACATTCAAGTTCAGTCTTCGCGTGCCGCCGCGGAAAGAACACATGTGCGCTAAGAAACGTTTACCGCCTTTTAATTTGATTGGCTGAAACTGTCACACCACTTGGTCTCAGGGGAATCTACATTACATTAGGTTACACTTTTTGAAGCTCGATGGAGAATTTTTCTGCCTACAGCCGAGTCTTGCGCGGCTCTATTCTGCTGCCGCCTCGCCATCCGAGCGTCTTCGCTCGGATGGCTCGTTGGCAATAATATGCGCTTAATTTCCAACAACTAGGAAAGATGTGATTGTCACAATGATGTAATTTAATGAGTGTAGGTATCGGCAAAATCCAATTCCATTATTTTTCCTTCGAAGTGAAAAAGGTGTCTGACAAAATCAAGAAGTTGGAAAACACATTAATTATCTAAAAAAATAGCAGCGATATCATGATGACATCATTCATTGTTAAAGAAGAGTCTGAAACAATCCGCCATTTTAAATTAATTAAGTGTACTCCATTTTACTTGAAACCCGCAGAAACTGAGGCAATCGTCATTGAAAAATTGATCTGTACTTAAAAAGATGTTTAAAAATCTAAAAAAAAAGGCCGAAACTTATAAAATTCCGGGAGGAATTATCACTGTGAAACTATTGAACCCATCTGCCAGTTGGTCATTTTAAATTCTTTTTTTAACGTCGCGGTTAACGACGTTAACCATGGGCCAACATCTTTCCGCCAACTGGAGATGCAAACGAAGTAATCGGTTCTTTGGCGTCTGACTTGCATCGACCGACACTTGTTATCTCTATTTTATCTTACCCAGGGGAGATGGGTACATGTCACAGCAGCATCCAACAACGAGGGAACGTCTGTACACAGGCTAAGCCATCCTAGGAGAAGTTAAGTTTTTTTTCGACATTACAAGGGCTTCAGTTTCATTTTACCAAGATTTTAGAAGTAATTTGACGTATTACGAAAGAGTAAATTTTACTAATTCCTCTCTTCTTTCAATCCGAAAATTTTAGGTTTCCTTTTTTTTTCCTACGAAAAATAGCCCAGCCTGAGGAGTGAAATGCCGAAAAGCTAGACTTAAGAAAAATGTTGGAGATTAATTTGATAAGCTTCAACCCACTACTTGTACACATGACATTCATCAGTCAAAGCCTAGTTGTATAGGTGTTGTCCAGTTTGGTGTTAATTTTCACGCCCAAAAGTCTGGTACAAGGAAAATTTAACGTGCCCGTAGCAGAACGTGCACGCGAACAAAAGAATGCCGTCGTGCGTTAGTGGCGAAATCGTGATCGCTTCCATCTTGGGCCTCAAACAACCCCAACCCTGTACTTTGATGACCAAAAGGTGATAAAGAAGTCAGCAATATCGGGTCTTGTCTCAAAAACGTTTGATGACGCAAAGTCTGGTGGATGCAAAAAGGTGCGAAATCGAGCTGCTGCTGGTTTTGTGGGTCTGAGCGAGAGAAATATACTGAGAGAGACAAACAGCAAAATAAAGTATCGTATTCATGACGTCAAGATTACCAATAAAGCTACGCCAAGACCAGTTACCGCAAAATCCATTCAAGCTCAACATCAAGTTGATCTCATGGACTTAAGCAAAGATGCCGTTGAACAGTTCTGATGTCACGGACATAGTTTCATATCTTAGCTTAGCATGTAAAAACAGTGGAAATTCTTCTTCTTGCACAGGCTACTTCCAACCCTTGGGGTGGTACTCCAGATTTCAGGTGTCGGATATGATCGAATGGGGGAAAACTTAAAACCAAAAAAAATCCCTAAGGCTTCCAACGAACCCCCCAAAAAAAAAAAAATCCCTGGATCAAAAATTAACCCCCAAAAAATCCCGTGCCAATTTCCGAGTCTTAAAATTTTCCAGAAAGCAAAACAAGTTTTGTTGTACTTAATTCGCAGAACCAGGCAGCGGGGATACACGAGCACTATTGTGAATCCTCATAAAGAAATGGTAAACGTGCAGCGTGCAACCATGGAGTTACGGACGCACGCGGGAGGTTGCTAAGCACGAAAGAAGCGTAAGAGTCGCACGAGGCGATAGCCGAGTGCGACTCTAGCTTCTTGGGTGCTTAGCAAACCTCCCAAGTGCATCCATAACTCCATGGTTGGACAGCTGCAACGTTTACTATTTCTTTTATAACATAATCGAAAGAGAAAAACATTATTTTCCATTTGCCTTCGGTTGAGTCATCAGTCCCAGTTCATGTATGCTGCCATCTGCCCGCGAGTAAACAAATCATGTTCCATGTTTTTTAAAAACTTGCCTTTGAGTTTTTCTTTCGCTGAATCAACCGTTCTCCGTCTTCAGGTAAATTGCAAAACGTTTTTCGTTGTTATTCTGGTAAAAACTTTGAGGGAAAACTATAGCTGCAACGATAAACACCAACTAAAAAGACTCTAAAAAATAAGCTAAAACTAAATGAATGAAATAATTATCAAGCTTATTTATGTGACAATTTTTGAAATAAACGTAAAGTAGAAAAGAGAAAATTTGACTGTAATTCCTTTAAAACAACAGGTAACACTAATTTCAAAAAGAAATTAACTAGCTTTGTATCGAAATCTGTCTGGGAAAATCCAGCTACGAAAGTCAACGTTGTAACTGAAATTCGCCGACACACAGCCGGCGCTGAAGCTGTTGTTTTTCGACCATTCTCTGAACGACTGTTGTGAATGAACAATGAGGAACAAACAAATGTTTGTGTACTCAAATGAAATTCGCTTATTCCAGCGTTTAAACCCAACTAAAATTTTTAAACTATGCGATGAAAACTTCACAACAAAGCTGTCTCGAATTTGAGCGTGTTTCCTAAAATATTTACTTGAATTTAGCATCAGCTTGACTAAAAAGTCAATAACACAATGCTAATTGATAAATTTACATTTCAAACAGACTTTCTCTTCTATAAAAAAGCACACAAAATGTACCTTAAATCTTCGCTCGCTCGATTTTCCTTCAGCCGATTCTAGCCGCAAGGAAATAGTGATTATGTAATTCATCCAGGGCAAATTTGTCGCTTGATCTTTTGTCTTTTTTCCTTCAAAACGACAGCTTAGCATTTTCTCCAACTTCCACTTTCCATCTATGCATTTCATCGGTGTATTTTACTGTCAGGAGAGGAGATTTGTTGAATTTGCCTAAATTTTACCGCGCTGGCTCAGTTTCTTGGCGTGCACCCACGGGCAAATGGTACTGGCTAAGTGACCAATCAGAGCGCGCGATTTACTTTTGTCATGTTATAATATTGTTTTGAAAACCCCAAAAAAATTCCTAAAAATTCCACTCAAATTTTCTTACCCAAAAAATTCCCGGAATCGAAAATTTCAAACCCACAGTAAAAAATCCTTCGATCATACCCGTCACTTGAAATCCGGAGAAATCCCCTGGGCTTCTAACCCAACTGATAAAGGTTACATTAACATTTCTTATTAAATTGCTAATTGTCGGTTCCGACATCAGTCAAGATGAAGCGAATTCTGCGTTCGTATTGGCTACTCGCTCGGGCAAGATAAGCCTGTCTTTCCCGCTGTGGTCCCTCAATAAAAAAAAAGGTGAAAATAGTTCGCTTGTTCCGTCAATACGGCTGAATACTCTCATATAGTTTTTTGGGGTGTGTTTTAAATGACCTCGATTTTGTGTTAAAAACGTTAAGTTATCTTGACCTCACGCTTGGTCAAAGGTGCTTTTGTATTTAGCCTCTTGATTTTTGTTTTTATCCCGGTCAACAGTAGCTTAATGGCGTTGTTCACTTGCTGACTATGACATTTTTTTAGGTGGTTATATAGAATGAATGAAAACGCTTGCTCAACACAAGTCAGAAACCAATTAATATAAAGACCGGAATCGCGTTTGTCCCTTGTGCCTACCGTGCTGCATTAGTCCTTTGGTTGCCCAAGGAACTCTCAGCTTTGTCAATATTCGCTGTCATTATTAGTTATCGTGTACAATCGATGTGATCAATTCTCTCCAGTAGTGTGGGCAGCTGTTTAAACTATTACGTGGTAGAAAGAAAACAAACTGACATGAACCACGAAATGACTAAATTTTAATTTCATCCTTTCTTTTGGTAGTTAAAGACGACAAACGAAGTAGTCGTTCGCAACACTGAAACGGTTTCTTGGACCTGAATTATTCTTCGTTGTATCTGAGACCCTTAAGTTTCCATAGGCGACGTTACAGAGACTGCAGGTCAGCCCCGCAGAAATAAGTTATTGAAAGCAACTTTAAGGTATTATTTCTTATTATTTCTGATACAGGTATAAATTTAGTTGGCAAGTATCTGACTGAAGACAAAGAAGAAAACCATGAACGATTCTACACGCCAACACTGCTCTGAAGCCTTATCGGCAGTTTTCATTGTGGCTTTATCTGCTATCAGCTTGGTGGCTTTATTTGGAAACTCTCTTGTTGTTATAACGTTCTTTAAAAACAAAAACCTCAGAACAAGCAGTAATTATTACATAGTGAATATGGCAGCCTCCGACGTGCTCTGTTCGTACTGCAACTGGTTGGTATACTCAACAGAAAGCATGCTTACCGGTAGAAGATGGATCAGTCATGATCCGTTGGCTTCTTTTTTGTGCAAAATTGGGATGTATCTCAGAGGAACTTCACAAATTGTGTCTGTGCTTAGCTTGGTTCTAATAGCTGTTGATAGATATTTCGCTACTGTCTTTCCATTAAAGACAACAATAATGGATCAAGAAAGAGTTCGTTTTACTTTTCTAGTTTTAACTTGGATCATAGCAGGAGCCTTCTGCTGTCCTGGGATACGTTACACCAAAGTTGTGCAGATTGGTAGTGACAGTTTCTGCCGACTGTTCTGGAATGAATCAGCCTATACGATTTTCCATTCGATTGCTATTGTGGTACTGTACTTTATTCCACTTGCAATGATATTTTTTCTTTACCATCGCATTTTGAGAGCACTAAGACACCGACCGATTAGTAAAAACGGTTTGCGAGACTTGCGAAACATCAGTTTTAGACAGCATCGGCAAGTCATAAAAATGCTCATCTCGATTGTTATCGCTTTCTTTTTCTGTTGGACTCCGCTTTGTATTTACTTTGCTCTGAAAATGTTTCAGCGAAACCTATTCCTGGAAGACAAATGCCATATCATAGTAGTTTTGTTCTTCTACGTTTTTCCATCTCTTAGCACCGCATTTAATCCTTTGATTCTTTTCTTGTTTAGCACAAATTATCGACAGGCGTTGTCGAATCTACGTAGTAAATTATTTTTTGTCGGGAATAGAAGGATTTCTCAGTCGCACGTTACTGCACTAGAACTCTAGTTCAGATGACGGAGATCAACTAAATCATGGTCATATAAATCCGACATTGCAGTGATACAAACTTAAATTTGACTTTTGTTGGCCTCTTGATTGGAAAAAAAACTGATCTCACAGACAGCAGTCACACAGACGAGGATTTCCCTAAGACAGATCGTCTTACTAGTGGAGCTTGAATGAAGAGCAATTCAACCAGTGGATACCACTTGGAACGGCACCAAGTGTCCTTCGTCATCGCCTCAAGATATGATGCTCCGGAAATATCGACTTTCTTTTTAACTTAATTAATGAAAGGCTTTTCTGTCACGAAATTTAAGCGAGAAACAGCTCGTGGACTGGCAAAACTGAATCGCTTAAACCTCAGACGCACAAAGAGGGTGGATGACAGCCCCTCTGAGGTTTTTCTGTGTTTATTCCTAGAAGAAACATCAGCACTTGACGTTTTCAGCAGCTGTTCGTTTATACGTTGCGCGCATTTCAGACATGTTTAGTGATGATTAGTTACTATGGTTACGAGATATGACGTCATAAGTAGCTGGTGGTCAAGCCATTTTTGAGTGAAAATGCATGTTTTTTCAACTTCTTTCAACTATAAAACTTATTTTATTTATTTATTTATTTATTTATACAGGAGCATCTGATTAAGCATAGCTACGAGTCCTTTGGAAAACAAACCTTCTACAATTACCACTAATTAATAAAAATACCGCTATCATTAAAACAAAAGAACTATGAAAAATGAGTAGTACACTAAAAGTACATAAGCACACGACAATGAAAGGATTTCAGGGGATAGCTGCCTAGGTCTTGAAATACCGTTTCGCTATGGACTTCAATTTTTTGAAGTCTTTAACGGCTCTAATATTGGAGGGGAGGGAATTGTAGTCACGTCCACCGTTAATCCGAAAACTGCCCTGGTACTTGGTGGTTTTGGCCGGAGGCAGCCGTAGCTAATCATATTTTCTTGTGAAATGGGAGTGGAGTTGGTGAGCGTGCCTAAATTCACTCAGCAGATAAGAAGATGTTATATTCCATTGATACACGTATATGCAAGAATAGATTTAAGGAAGTTACGGCGCGTTTGCAAATGAGGCCAGCAAAATATGGTGGAAAGTTCATCTAACTTAACCGCACGGCCATAAATTATACAGTGTAGCAAGGCGATTTAGCTTGTCTAAGTAGGATTTACTACCCTGACTACAACTATCCGAAACGACCGTGCAATGGTCAAATTTTTAGGCCAGAACCATCGTATTATCCGTGAGTTATTTTACATGTCAAGGACAAAAAAACTACCAATTCTCACCGTTTTACCTGATTTCTAATTCTTGATAAAATCCAAGATGGCCACAATGTTGGGTGACATCACAGGCCTCCAGCAGTGCTACCACCTATAAAATATACCATATAATATAGAGAAGAACAAAGCTTTTCACTAAAGGCAAAATCTTTTCGAAATATTGCAACATATCAAAAAATCAAAGGGGTAGATTTTAACTGAGGTTTTTTTCCAAAAAAATTCGGACTTAACGTTTTTCAAAGTTCACGTCTGTTGTTTTTGCTTTTAAATGTACTTGATGAAAGGGATATCTACACATCTACTTGTCACGAATGAAGCCGCGCTATTCAGTCATGACATATAATTTCTTCGGAAACGTCCAGTTCCTTGCCAAGTGAGGGCGCTGAGGTGATTGAAAATGCAAAATGAACTGGCCTGAAGTTACATGGTGCGGCTATTTTCAGAAGATGTGACCAGCGGAATCACAGTCATGGCGATTTAGAAATGAAAAAAAAGGAAATGGAAAAGTATACTACCCAATAGTTAAATGTTGGCATTTCAGGTAAGCGCATCATTTTGTTGAGCATGTCGAGGAAACAACGGAATTCAATTTCGTACAAAGATCTTCAAGATAATTGATGAGGAGCCACCAAAGAAAGAATAGTCAATGTCCAATAAAGAAACATTTATTGATTGAGTGTTTACATGTTTTACTCATTTCAGTGATTCATACATAAGAGCACAATCAATCTCTTTATACTATGAAGTATGCTTTTTGTTTGGTAGCTAAGATAAACCTTCCTCTCTATTAAAGACTCGATCTTTGTCCTCTACACATTGAGGAGAAAGGGAGCAATCCAAAATGCCACTTAATTTGTGTTTCCAAGCTTTCCGTTTTGTCTCTAATTCATTCTTTTCTTCTTTCAACATTTCATTGTTCCTTTTAACTATTTAATCTTAGTAGTATAGGAGGGACCGAATTAACCCCTTTTTTGGGGGGGAATCTCATTAAGGTGGGGGGAATAAATTAACGCCGATGACGTCATAGGCTATTGTCTTGATCTCATGAATAAAATGCGCAGGAATCTCATTAAGATAAGGTCGTGTGCTATTTAAAATTCGTTTAGGTTTTCTAGTTACTTTAAGGTCGATAAACGTCTTGATTGGTTTGTTAGAAAATAAAGAAAAGTTTTCATTGGTTTTTTGTCAAACTTGTTTTGACTTAAAATCACTTAATTATGCACTTCCTATTTCCTGCTGCTGTGATTGTCCTTGTTCCGGTTCACTGATGGGAATTAAGTGGTGCCAAATGCTCTTTTTTTTTACACTGCTCAATGTTTGAATTACCCCTCTCCTTTTCATTTTTATTTTCCTCCTCCTCCACAATTTTATCATTTTCCTTCCTCAAATTATTTACAATTGTTTTCCTCCTCCTCCCTCCTCCTCATTTTGTTTTCCCTCCTCCTCCTCCCCTTTTTTTTTTTTTTTTGTATTGGTTTTTCTCTCCTCCTCATTTTTATTGCATTTCTATTGTTTCCCTCCACCACCACCACCACCACCGCCACATTTTTATTGATCCACCACCACCACCTCCAGATATCCACCACCACCACCACATACATTTTTCTATTGTTTTCCCTCCACCACCACCACCACCACCGCCACCACATTTCTATTGTTACCAAATTGTTTTTGCCACCACATTTCTATTGTTTTCCCTCCACCACCACCACCACCGCCACCACATTTTTATTGTTTCCCTCCTTGAGTTTGGCCTTTTAGGCCTGATTTTGGCCTCTTTGGCCTTTTGAGGGAAACAATGAAAATGTGGTGGCGGTTAAAATTCCTTCAGCATGTACAAAAAATCTAAGATCTATTATACCTAACTAAACTAACTGTGATTAAAAATATATTCATAAAATTTTAACTACCTAGCTATTTACAAATAAAAGCTGCTTTTCAAGGATGCCGTGTAAAACTGTATTAATGTATGATCTCATTCAAAACTGTTGCGACACAGTTTGCGTTTAAAATCATGTAAAGAATCTGCAGATCTTAAATCATGTGATAGGCTGCTCCACAGCTTAGCTCCGCTATAGGAGACACTTTTCTTTAAGTAATTGGTACGGGGCAGTGGAAGGACTAATTTATTTTCAGTATTCCTCAATCGATAAGAAGTTATTTCGTCACGAGATACAAATTTAGATGTTAGATAGTCGGGAGTCATCCCATGTACGGTTTTATACATCATGATAGCCGTCGATACTTGTCTTTGGTGTTTAAGCTTACGCCAACCCAGTGCCAGGAACAAATCGTCCACATTACACTCAGAATTAGCGGACATTAGAATACGGGCTGCACGATTTTGGAGCCTCTGCAGCTTATTGGAAAGACCAATGCCGCAGTTGCTCCATACGACATTACAGTAATCAAAATGCGGTTGAATTAAACTGTTGTAAACATTAATTAATACATTAAAAGGAATAAGATGTCGTATTCTTTTAATTGCACCAAAAGTAGAAGCAATCTTTTTACAAATACTCTGTATGTGGCATTCCCAGCTTAAGTTTTGGTCAATATGCACTCGTCCAAGAGATTTTGCCGTTGACACTTGCATCACAGGATGGTCGTTTATCATAAAAGATGGAGTTTCAGACAGCTTTGATAGCTTCTGCCTCGACCCAACTAACATAAACTCAGTTTTAGTCAAGTTAAGGGTCAGTTTGTTAGCCGATAGCCATATATACTCCTTGTTTAAATCGTCGTTAACGCAGTCATTTATGAGTTTTAAATCTGCGCTGGCATAGGTTAGGCTGGTGTCATCGGCATACATTCTAGGTTGTGAAAAATGCAAGCAATTAGGCAGGTCATTTATATACAGTAAAAACAATAAAGGTCCAAGAATTGTTCCCTGAGGAACACCACATGTAACTAATTTTGGGTTTGACATTGAGCAATTAATTTGGCAAGTTTGGGTACGATTGTTTAAATACGAAGAAAACCATTCGTGACAGGAACCGCGTAATCCATAATATTGTAATTTCGTTAATAAGATATGATGATCAACTGTGTCGAAAGCCTTTTTTAAGTCTAAGAAGACAACGGCATTGACAAGGCCACGATCAACGTTCACTGCCCAGCTATTGGTAGCTTCGAGTAATGCGGTTACAGTAGAATGTAAAGAACGAAAACCAGATTGGTAACGGGATAGAATACGATTCTCAGTAAGATAGTGATACAACTGGTCGTAGACTACCCGTTCAAATACTTTGGCCACGACTGGGATCACCGATATTGGTCGATAATTGGTGGGATCATTTCGTTTACCAGATTTTTTATACAATGGAGTAACCCTGGCCGACTTCCACTCATCGGGAAAAATTCCTGTCAACAGTGATTGATTAAATATTGAAGTATGAGACTCGGCAATTAGATCAGGGAACTCCCTTAATAATTTAGCTGATATACTATCTAATCCAGTGGCCTTTGATTTACAAAGTTTTGAAAGGAGAGAGTAAATATGAGCAGATGTTATTTCCTTGAAGACAAACTCCTTAGAAGTTCCACAAAGAAACTCTTTGTAGGTGGTATCAACATTCGAAACATTTCGACTAAGCCTTGGTCCAATCTCAATGAAGAAAGTGTTTAACAATTCAGCAACTTCTGCTTGATTGCTCGATTTTACTTAGTCCCTGATATTGTATTTCATTTATTATTGTTATATTAGATTTGCGGGAAGTCAATTCATTGATGGTCTTCCAGGTCTTACGTTGATCATCGGCATAATTATTAAAAGAATTATTATAATAGGCCTTTTTAGCAGCCTTGATTTCCTGATTTACTTTATTTTTGACCTTCCGGAATCGATTCCAAGAGGACGCATCCTTAGTTTTAACAGCTTTTTTCTTTAGCCGGTTTCTGAAATTCATTCGTTTTTTCAAATTTGTGGTAATCCAAGGAGACTTGGTGGGACGGGTGTGTTTAGTTTTCACAGGGGCGTGCTTATCACAAACACTTAGGAATAATTCTTTCCATTTTTTCCACATGTCATTGGGGTCGTACAGTTCTTTGATATCGACCCACGGTTGCGTCGAAACATCATTACGAAAATTATTGCTGTTGAAGTGTTTAAATTGTCTACAGCTGATCAAAGTGATTCCTTTAGAAACAGGCGGGATTGAAATTTTACGGTACGCGTAAACAAGACTGTGATCGCTTATAC